GAGCCAGAGTCTGACTCTATCACCCAGGCTGGAGTGTGGTGGCATGATCTTGGCTCACTGCAATCTCCGCCTCCTGGGTTCAACCAATTCTCCTGCTTCAGCCTCAGTAACTGGGATTACAGGTGCCCAGCCACAACACCCAGCTAACTTTTTGTATTTTTAGTAGAGACGGGGTTTGCCATGTTGCCCAGGCTGGTTTCGAACTCCTAAACTCAGGCAACCTGCCTGCCTTGGCCTCTCAAAGTGCTGGGAGTACAGGCATGAGCCACCATGCCCGGCCCACATGTTTTGTTTATAAATGAAACTTCAAATTTACTAACATAGCAAAAAGAATAGAGAATTAAAGTCATTATTTAATGAAATAGACTAGGAATTTAAGAAGCCAACTTACACCAAGAAAAGTCTATCTATTTAAACAATGCCACTTCATAGGGTATCTTAGGCCATTTGCATATTGACTACATATCACTCTGTGCAATACATTAGACATTACATATAAAAGCCTGTTTGTAAATTTACATTTTTCTTTTAACCAATGTTATATAAATATTGAAGCAGACTGTAAGTGCTGCTCTAGGAACAAGAAATGTCTTTCATCGCTGTGGACAAAAACGGATTTGTGTGAATGAGTACCCTTACACAAACACTCATGTCCAATGGGAGAACAAAGAGACATTCCAGTTGTCACCAATAGAGAGGCATGGTCACAGCAGAATCATACAAAATAATTTTATCTCCACAAGAAAACAAAGACTAGTGTTTGCTTATATTACTGAGCTTTCTCATTGGCTCCCGTTTATGTATTATCATATCTCTTTGGATTCTACCAAATACTCACATCTATGATAGAGTTGATTTCATCTGCAAGACGGTTGGCTTCACCGAGTATATCATTACCTTCTTTTAAAGTGTTCTCAATTTGTCGTTTGCCACTTTCAACAGCCTCCTTCTTTTTCTGTAGACAGATGTGAACAAGGCATCAAAATTGCATTTTTGTAAAATCCTACCTAGACCTGTATTCCTGACTTTCCTGAGCTGTTCGAATAAAAGCTTGGCAAAAAAGGTACATCATGTTGACAATGTGGCTAGATGAGAATAATATAAACTACTTAGCCAGTCCTTCAAGAGTTCTTCTATGTAGAGGCTTGTGTCGGTTATTTCTCCTTCTCATTGTGAGAAAGTCATCCAGGTGAAGAAAAGTTATGCGATACTAGTTGAGGAATTAAAACTACTTTTAAAGAAAGATAGAACATCCATTTTTAACGAAAATGTAAGTGCTGAATAGTTAAATTGGTACTATATATTGAGTTCTAGAATCTATATACAAATCTAGAATCTATATACAAATGTGTACTTTGTGAATGTAAACATAAGCAGATGCATTCAATGGGATTTCGGTGAAATTTGAAGTGAGATTTTTAAGGAAACTTAGGGGAAGTACTTTTTTTTTGTACTTTTTAAGAAATAGAGAAACAATCACATGGAAGAATAAACCAAATGCACTGTTTCATAAGGAAAAGATTATAATTTTGCTTTGGAACATATAGCTTGTCTAAAAACTACATGAAATGCAATCCCAGCCTAGAAGAGTAAAACCGATGAGAGACAAATACTGTTATTTCTCCATTTGGGGCATATTTTTTACTTTTTTTATTCTTTATACTTCTGATTCATTCCTATTCCTGAAATCACCATTCTACCTACAGATTTAACTGCCTCAATTATAATATTAAGCTTTGACCACTTATAGTTTTTTTCTGTAGACAATAATGCTAATTCTTGTAGATCTCAATATGTGCCAGGCAGTTTATAAGCTTTTCTTACTTTATTCCAACTCTTTGAATTCTATATTGATCACTTTTTACATAAGTGGGAAATTGAACAGGTAAAGGGCAGTGGTCCGAACGTTTGTGTTCTCTGAAAATCCATATGTTGAAATTCTAATCCTCAAGGGGATAGGACTAGAACTGGGGCCTCTGCAGGTGACCAGGTCACGAAGCAGAGACTTCACATATGCGATTTTTGCCCTTATAAAAGAGATCTGAAGGAGTTTGTTCATCCTTTTACTATGTGAGGACACAGTGAAAATGATGTCTGGGAACCGGAAAGGGGTACCTCATCAGACACCAAATCTGCCAACACCTTGATCTTGGATTTCCCAGCCTCCAGGACCGTAAGAAGTAAATTTTGATTGCATATAAGCCACTCAGTTTTTGGTCTGTTGCTATAGCAGCTCAAATGAACCAAGACAGTAAATGGTTTCTTTAAGGTCATGTTGTACACTGTGGTTAAGATTTAAACTCCTGTCTACTTAATGATAGATCCTGGGTCCTGGACTGTGCAAATACTGTCCCTTATATTATAGAAATCACATTTTTAAAAAAAGTGCACTGGGCTAGTGCTAATTTCATACCTTTCTTTCCTTCTTTTCATCAATCAATTCAGTATGTTGCCAGGCCCATATATCTAGTTCCTCCCTCTAAGCCTCTGCATTTGCAGATTCTCCCACTGTATGCTGTTCCTACTCCTTGGCTTGTTTCCTCCCTCCATTCTGATTACCTATCTAAAATAGCACCCATCCTCTTCTCAATCATTCTCTATATACTAGGGCACAGTGATTAAAAGCTACATTCAAGTGACAGCCCTCCTTGTTTGGGATCTCAGCTCCCAAGCTATGAAATCTTAAGGAAGTAATTTAGCTTCATATAAAATGTTTAGTCCCTCTCTACTCAAAGTGTAGCCCATTCACCAGCAGCATCAGTGTCACCAGGAAGCTCATTAGAAACACATAATCTCAATCCGTTCTTGGGAACTACTGACCGAGAATCTGCATTTTAACAAAAACTCCGTGTGATAGATATATACGGTATGCCAGGCAGTGTTCTAAGCTAAAATTAGAGAATTAGCTAACACTGCCTGGCATGCAGTAACACTATGATTTTAACTATTATAATTACCTTATTTTGTTCTTCATCGCACTTATTTATCTGAATTGTATTCTATAGAGTGGTCACAAACTATAGAAACATAGATAATATTATTTTATTTTTTATGTAGATTGATTCATCTTGATTACTTTTGATGAGAGTTGCTAAAAACAAAGATTATGTAATGAAAATCAGAGACACCAGTGCATCACAGATGCGTATACAGGGACCAGCAGAAAGGAACAGCCTGTTGAACTATTTGTTGTTAATGAATGGAATATATTATACCATATGTATTATGCACATTGAATGTATTATGCAATATCATGAAACATACCATGTATTACATATCAATAAACAAGTTATGTATATCAGTCTATGCATCCAGACTTTATGGTCATATCTTAGACCTATTTATTGGTTTAGTGACCATCTCCTGTATTATAACACAAATTCCATAAAGACAGCCTTATGTATAACTATCTCTAGTCCCTAGATGAGTTTCCTCAATAAATATTTTCTAATAAATAAATGAAAATGGGTCAGCCATGGTGGCTCACGCCTGTTATCCCAGCACTTTGGGAGGCCGAGGCAGGTGGATCACCTGAGGTCAGGAGATCGAGACCAGCCTGGCCAACATGATGAAACCCTGTCTCTACTAAAAATACAAAATTAGCTGAGTCTGGTGGTGTACACATGTAATCCCAGCTACTCGGAAGGCTGAGGCAGGAGAATTGCCTGACCTGGGAGGCGGAGGTTGAAGTGAGTCAAGATTGCGTCATTGCAAACCAGCTTAGGTAACAAGAGCGAAACTCTGTCTTAAAAAAAAAAAAGAAAGAAAGAAAGAAAAAAGAAAATTGAGTCCATTCCTGGGACTTGTGCTGGTGACACTTGGCTCGTTCAGCTACTCCCATCACTAATTCAGGGCAGGTTCTGACATGTGTCATTCACTCTTCACAGACAACAAACGTAGGAACAGTCCCAAATGTCCCTGATTACAAGTCATATCTTATCTTCCAAGGGTCTAACATTCTTTTACACAACTGCCAATTTTAGCCCTTAGCTTTTGTATGAACTGACTTAAAGTATACCATGTACAGAAATACAAGAATCTTTCCAACATGGCTTGTTTGAATTAATGGATCAAGGTAGTTTAACATGCTGTGCTACTGGAAGCAAACAGAACACTTTCATATGTGTTAATTGAAGAGCCATATATATTTTCATTTCAATAAAGTAGTGAGAATCTTTTGTAAAAGCTTTAATTGAGTCACATTAGGGAGTCAATTGTTATGCAAAGATCAAAATATGCTTCTTTTCATACTCAATCAGAAATGATGGTGAGATTAAAGAGATTTTAGAGGTGGCTAATTTTCAGATTAGATACTGATGAAATCTAGCTTTGAACAGAGGAAACATGGAAATTTGGAGCTCACAAATATTGGTAAAAATACAGAGAATTTAGGTTTGCTTTATGGCACTTTATTTATTCACGGACCAAAAAAACTGTTTTGCCTTTGGCAGATACTGTTCTAGGATCTGGGGATGAAGTGAGGAAGAACACATGTTCCTCATGGCTTGTGTGGAGTAGTGATAAAATGAATGAGTAAATTAATGTATAATATATTCTTAAGGAAATTAGACGAGTGTAATAAAAACAGAGATAGAAAATGGTGTAGCATATAAAATATCTAAGATAGGAAACTTAGAATATTTAAGAAACAACAAAAAAAAGTCCAATGTATAGGGAGAATTATTCTACAAAAAGTATAGTATAAGCGTAATTGCTCAATGATTCTGTTTGAATATGAAAGTTGATTACGTTTCTACTTTTAACTTGTAATTAATTAGATCTTATTTTATTCTGGAGCTTTGCAAATTGAACTTTCTTTCTTTCTTTCTTTCTTTCTTTCTTTCTTTCTTTCTTTCTTTCTTTCTTTCTTTCTTTCTTTCTTTCTTTCTTTCCTTCTTTCTTTCTTTCTTTCTTTCTCTTTCTTTCTTTGTTTTTTGTTGGTGTCTTGGTGTGGTGGATTCTTCAGAAACCTGCAAAAACTATCTTCCTGTCTATTCTTGTTTTCCTTTTTCTTTGCTTTTTTTTTTTTGTTTGTTTTTTGAGACAGGGTCTCACTGTCACCCAGGCTGGAGTGCAGTGGCACCATCACAGCTCATTGCAGGCTCAAATTTCTGGGCTCAAGCAATCCTCCCACTTCAGCCTCCAAGTAGGTGGGACCACAGGCACACACCACCATGCCTGACTAATTTGTATATTTTCCTGTAAAGACAGGGTTTCACCATATTGTCCAGGCTGGCCTGTGTATTCTTTATATAGCAACTTACTCTTTACTTGATCTGCACTGCCTTCTTTGGCAAGGTCATAGTGGTAGATTTGGGGATAGACTGTTCAATACATATTATTTACTTCATTGAATTATTCGTCTCCTCTCTTTCTGCCCATGAGGTACCCAGTTCCCTTCAGCCTTCTCTGCCTCGCTGGAGATGCCCTTCTAACTCCATCACCATATAGTAGGCTGCATTCAAAGCCTTCTATGATCTGGCTCCTAACTCCAGAGCCATCTCTGCTACAGACTTTTACGTAGCTTTTGAAAGCTTTTCTGCTCTATCAAACATTTCCTAAGACCACCTTATACTTCTGGAGCTCTGTGCTGGGGCTCCTGCCACAGAGTGAAAGGTTAAAATGTCTGAATTTTTTGGGAGATTATAAGTTTTTTGAGGCCAAGAATAATTTCTATTCAACCCCAAATACCCTGGTTACCAACAATACCTTGAAATGGTAGTACCAGACAGAAATTAAAATAAATACTATCACAGCCTAATTTTCTAGCCTAATATCACACTATTTTCCAATACAAAACCATGTCTTCAGTTTATTTGAACCACTCAAATTCCCCCAAATTTTATTTAAACCCAAGACTGCAATATTTCAATTGCTTTCTATAGCTTTCCAGATAAAAACAAATTCTTAGCTTAGTCTCACAGTGTAATTCTCTTATAACTGAAAGTCTGCAGTCTGCCTATCTTTTCTTTCTATCTGTCCAGTTGTTCACACACAGTTTTCTTCCCAGCCTATCAAGCCACTGAACTTTTCCCCAAAATGTCCTTTTCTTTCCTCCATGTCTTTGTTTATGTTTTTCCCAGTTTCTGCAATGTTCTTCTTTTTCTTTTTCTGTGGCTGAGTGCTCACCCTTTAGGATCTAGTACAAGTGTCAGGGCCTTACAAAGCCCTTCCTAAACTCAGGGGTGACTGAAACTCCCTCCTTGCTTACCTCTGTGATCATTATGGTAGTGTACAGAGTGGTTTGCTTATGTGTACACCTCCCACTAAATACAGGTTACTTGAAGTCATCAGAGATGGTGTTTTATTGTTTATACCGGCGAGGCTGCATCTGAATCACTAGAGGAGCTATTAAAACACAGATTTCTGGGCCCCATTCTCAGAGTTTCAGAGTTGATCATTTGGGGGTGAGGTTCAAGAATTTGTCTTTTTGAGAAGTTTCTAGGCTACACTAATGCTGCTGCTCTAGGGGCCTCCTCATTGAGACAATCAATTTTGGTGTCCAGCATGTTTCCTGAATGAAGTAGATGCCTGATAAAATTTTTAAACATAAAATTACACACTTACCACCTTAAAATAAATAAAATGTTTTCAAGTTGGGTCTTAATTATATCACCTTCATTGTAGGCACAGTCATAAGGGAGTTATTTATTTAAAATACAGCTTATTATTCAGTCAAATAGATACAATCTGTCAGTTTTCCTCAAACCTGTATAGGCGTCAGATTAGTCCAAGGAGAGTGTTAGAAATAGGGACACGGAGCCATACCCCAGACCGGCCTGCACAGACTCTGGGTGGGAGACCATAGGACCTGCTTGTTTAACAAACCCTCCACGTGATTTTCAGCCATTTTAGCAGCAACCATGATAATCTAAGCAACCTTAAATAATCCATACCTTATTCATGTGAATTCGGTTAGCTTACCTATTCTATCCAGTAACGTCCTAACAAGCCTTTAGTTAAGCACAACACATAAGATAAAAATCCAAAAAGGACCACTTAGATTTTCAGTAGTGACTATACATAAGCTCTAAGCATTTGTAGGGGTGCCCAAGAATGGTGAATTCTGGTTTTAAACATCACTAAAAGAAACGACTGAAGGTGCTATTGACTGTGCCATACAACTCTCCTTGAAATATTTCTCAAATACTTACTATGCTCTCCACACAGGTAATTTTCATTTCTCAAACTGTTGCCATAAAATAGAGAGGTGAACCTTCAGGTAAGTCACACGGCTGGTGTGTCACTGGGCAGGGTGAATCCTGCTGGAGCCTGTGATAGGACAGCGGCCTAGCATCCCGCCTCACAGCGGGGAGCTTTTTCTGGAATACTGCTGGCATGTCAGTAGACTCCAAATTGGTTAAGATTAGGTGCATCAGTTAAGAAAAAAAAGTAAGCCTCTTCAATCTTCTACCAGAATGACAAGGCTTAGTCCCAGAAGAGGGACGTAGAAATAAAATATATTAAAAAATGTAATACATCCTCTTACGACTTAATCCAAAGGAAAATAGAAATCAATAGATTTAAAAAATCCTGGTTCGGCTGGGCACAGTGGCTCACATCTTTAAGCCCAGCCCTTTGGGAGGCCAAGGAAGGTGGATCATGAGGTCAGGAGTTCAAGACCAGCCTGGCCAATATGGTAAAACCCTGTCTCTACTAAAAATACAAAAATTAGCCGGGTGTGGTGGTGTGCACCTATAATCCCAGCTACTCGGGAGGCTGAGGCAGAAGAGTTGCTTGAACTCGGGAGGCAGAGGTTGCAGTGAGCTGAGATCATGCCACCGCACTCCAGTGAGATGCCATCTCAGAAGAAAAAAAAATCCTGGTTCATTTATTTAATTGCTAATGTCATTCAACAAACATTTCTACATACATGCTATATGCCAAAGAGTGTTGAGTTATTGTTAAAGCTGAAATTATATGTTAGAAGACATATAGTTCTGCTGATGTTTTCTGACCTGTTAGAGTCAGACAGTTGGAAAACAACAAAGGTAAATTTGTCTCTGGGGAGAAAGTTGTTGTTGTTTAAATATTAATATCAAATACAGGTTTCTGCTGTTATATGTGCTGAATTGACTCTTGGGAAAAGTGATCACTTACTACACTAAGATTAAGAAAGAAAGTAAAAACAAGAAGAAAAAAATAATGGAGGAACCTGTTTTAGTTCTAGTTTCATCAGCACTCTGAAAAAGATAGAGGCTGCCCAGAATTTCTTGAGCTGATAAGTAACTGTTGCCTGCGAAGAAAGGGAGGAGAAAATAACCCAGACCTGATTTGTTCATGTTAGTCCTTTTTAAAAGACCATTTGCATAACACCCACTGTACAGAAAAAAGGGAACCAAATTTTTTCCAAGCTCTGGTGTCAATTCATTGAGTTATTTGTCAGGTGCATTTGAAAGTGTAGGGAACTTCTGTGATTTCTGGCAGCAAGATCTCTGAACCAAGTTTATAAATTAGATTGGGAAAGTTGCAAAATAATGTGATATGAATATTTGAAGATACCCGATTTGCTATAGTATAATGCACTCATTGTAGATTTGGGGAACTGATGCTTAGAGATGTTAGTTGACTTGCCCAATTTGTATGTCTAGTTACTGGCACAGTTGTCATTGAGATCAAGGTCCCCTGGCTCCCTGTAAAGAACTTCTTCCACTGTACCACAGAGTTCTTAAATACCTTCAAAAGTTCAACTTATTGAAATTTTATTTGATTCTTTGGGTGATGGTAATTGGTCATTAAAAGCAAAACAAACAAAAAAAGTCATTTCCTGTTCTGATTCTTAGAAGTACCCTTTCAGAGTTGTTACTCTTGACCTTTGGAAATGTGCATCAACTTGAATAGTCCCGCCATGTTCAACACTGCCCCCGCTCCCCGCATTCTGAGATTGAGATAAACGTGCCCCCAAGACTCACCTCCAAAGCAGTCATGTTTTTCTGGTTTACTGCAGATAAGCCATTAGCTTCTCTGATTTTATCTGTGGCTTCTCTCAACAGGTCCCAAGCATCATCAAGTTTGTCTTTGTAGTCAGCCAGTTTTTCCCGGAGGTCCTCCTCCATTTCTTCATTTTTCCCCCGGGACTCTCCAAACAGCTTCTTCACTTTCTTCAGAAGGCCTTCTGCAGCTCTGTAACCACCCACAGCCCAAGAATAGACAATGAGCTCATGTCACCGCCATAGGGTTTATTGGTATTAAACCATGTTACAAAGAGATGCTAACATGAGAAGAATGAGAAAATAAGAAAACATGTAAAATAGATTCACTGTGTGCTAAATCAAGTGAAAACTGGTACCTGAGACCACTTATAATTAATTAAAATGAAAGCAAAACAGATGTTTAAAAAAACCTTTTAAATTTGTTAGTAAAATAACATTTTCAATCAGAAGGGGTCTCATGTCATTCTCAGAATCTGACTGATGAAATGAGTTTTATGATTCACTTCACATACTAAAATCAAACAATCCACCTGTTTCATTGTAATGAGACCTTTCTCTATTACTTTGAATGTAAGGGTGAATATTGATATGTTTGCTTAGAAACTGTGAACAGAATTCTAGGTTATTGCCATGCTAGTGGAATAGCATGATTTTAATCTACTTTTCTTTTTCTTCCAACTGACTGACCTGGAAGTTTTTTGGGTTTAACTTACCTAGTTTTTCTAAAGAGATAATTTCTGAGTCATTAAGAAAGTTTAAATACTTGAAAAGCAGTAATTCTCAAGCTGACATGCCTCATAATTCCCTGAAGGACTTGTTAATACATGGATTGCTGGGTCCCATCCCCAAAGTTTCTGATTCAGGAAGTCTGGGATGGGATTTGACAATCCGTATTTTTAATAAGTTCTCAGGTATGCTGATATTGCTGGTTTAGTATATATTATTTAGGTATTAATAATTCTACCACTTTGAAGTTAGCTGACTATGAATGTAGAGATGTATCTATTTTATTGAGTGTGTTATTATAACAGTTATTTAGCATGGGTAAAATCACTATCACTGTTCCCAATCTTCAAATTCCCAACTTTTATTTGAAAGTATTTATTATTTGATGACTTTTCTTTTCAGCATTTCTTAAGATGATAAAATGTATAGGATGGCCTATACATGAATGGTAAAGTCATAACTTTGTTTATCCAAAGGTATTTTTCTTAAAACAAAAATCAACTGTTAGTCTAGAAGTCCTTAAGACAGGTGATTAACAAATCAAGCTCATTAGCCTAATTATAGGAGGGGTAGCACCAGAAAAAATCATTTACTTCATTATTTATATGTAGGCAAGAATATGCTTTTGATTCATTTTAGAACAATGGTAAAGTACAATTAAATAAGTAAATGAATAAACAATAGATAGATGATAGACAGATGGGTAGATAAAATGATAAAATAGCACACATCTCCAGGTCGGAAAAACAGAGTATTCTTTGCTTACATGTGTGATAAAAATTTAGAAACTGTAAATTATCTGGAAATCTCAGTTTGTCAAATGAAAAAATAACAACGCATCTACTCACACCAACTCATCTTCAGCAATTTCTTTTTGTGTCTCTAGATTTTTCCTCCTCAGTTCTTTAATCATCTGGTCAATCTCTTTCTGAAGCCCTTCCAAATTTATCTCAAAGGCCTTGTCTTGAGTTCCTAGAGTTTCATTTAGTTTTATAGCTTTTTCATTTATAGCTGCAGGGGGTAAAACAAATATTGTAAATTAGTAAACAAAAATGCCACATGAAAACACGGCATTCAGCATCTGCTTGGCGCCGCCATCTCCAAATGAAGAGTATTTTGCCGTGAGTGTTCCTGCTGGGAAACACACAGGCAGTTAAGACAATAATCAGTAACAAACAGGGAAGCATAATATATTTCTCAATATTATTTTTATTTCGGGGGTTACAGGAATTAAAGCATGATGTTTCTAGCCTCAAAAGAAAGAATCACAAATAAAGAAGTAGGTCAAAGCATATTCTGGTTAGAGATTAAAAAAAAAAAAGTGGCCTGTAGCCTAATACCTTGAGGCTGGAACACTTTGAGGCTGGAAACACAGCAATGCTGATAAGATAGTCATAGGAATGGCTATCAGTCAGTTTAAAAATACCGACTATGGAAATACTATGTGATGAGATCTCTGAAAATGAACCTGCCCGGGTATTTCCACATAGTGTTCCTGTGCTCATTTTTTTAAAAGAGTGAAGAAAGAAGCACTAGTTCAGGCTTATAACCCTTTTAGGAGAAGGGTTATAAATTAGGCTTCAACGACACCTTCCAGCAATAGCATCCTACACAAGGCTCTGTGTTTATTATGCATTAAATGGGGTTTCAAACTGTGTTCCTTGGAATCATAGGATTCTCCAGGTGCTTCAGGTTTTCTACAAATGATGCCTATTCTGCCAAGAATCTGCTTTATAGGTTGGTGTTCTGGGCAAGATTTCATTTGAAAAAAGAATTCTATGTCAAATAAAAGTTTAAAATGGCGAATTGAAACATTTACACAGTACTTTTATTAGTTTTGGACTAAAGTTTCCTGGAGTGTGTTCGATAGGACATTTTTTTTAGTGAGTTGAAGAGAGATGTTTTCGAAAACTCTTTTGTCAGCTGATACTTATTTCTTTAATATTACCTTCGAAAACTCCTAAAATGAGGGGTCTGGTCTAGCCAAGAGGCATTTTCTATCATTCAAGGGTGTATCTGAAGACCTCCTTATGACATAGAGAATCCTGAAAATTAATTTCTACCCTTGGAGAGAGTTTTCTGATTTGCACTGGGCAGAACTCCTGAAATAGGTGCACATAGTCAGGACAAGCAGAACAGGCAGAGGGTATGTGAGATGGAGGGTGAGCATGGTGGTTTTAAAATGTGGTCCCCAACAAGCAGCAGCAGCATCACCTTGGAGTCTATTAGAAATGCAGATTCTCACCTGCCACAAATCTACTGACTCAGAAATTCTGGGGACGAGGACCAGCAATCTGGGTTTTAAAAAGCTTTCTCCGAGCTCCTGATGTACCCTAGAGTTTGAGGAACACTGAGCCAGTAGAAAGAATTGAGTGTCAATATCTAATGTACCCTTTCCACAATGCATCTTTACAATCCTTTCTTCGTTATATATATCTTTGGTTTAAAAGTTCCTGTAGTCCATACTTTATCCCTTGATAGCCAATGCTGCAGATTGAATGTTTAGGTTCCCCTCAAATTCATATATTGAAATCTAATTCCCAATGTGATGGTATGTAGAGGCGGAGCCTGATGTGGTTTCTCTCTGTATCCCCCCTACCTGAAATCTCATCTCAAGTTGTGATACCCACATGTCGGGGGAGGGGCCTGGTGGGAGGTGATTGAATCATGGGAGCAAAACTCCCCCCTTGCTATCCTCGTGACAGTGAGTGAATTCTCACAAGATCTGGTTGTTTGAAGGTGTGTGGCACTTCCCCCTTCATTCTCTCTCTCTCGCCACCACGTGAAGAAGGTCCTTGCTTCCCCTTCGCCTTCTGCCATGATTGTAAGTTTCCTCAGGCCTCCCAGTCATGCATCTTGTTAAGCATGCAGAACTGTGGTCAATTATAGCCCTTTTCTTCATAAGTTACCCAGTCTCAGGTAATCCTTTATAGCAGTGTGAAAACAGATTAATACAAACCCTTTGAGAGGTATTAGGTCATAAGGGCAAGAATGAGATCAGTGCTCTTATAACAGGGATGCCAGAGAACTCCCTTGCCCCTTCTACCACATGAAATTATAACAAGGAGACAGCCACCTCTGAACCAGGAAGCAGCTCCACACCAGACACCAAACCAGCCAGCACCTTGATCTTGGACCTCTCAGCCTCCAGAAATGAGAAATACCACAAAGTTTATGAAATTTTCATTACAGCAGCCCAAATGGACTAAGAAAGCCACAGTTTAATTAGCAGAAATATTTGAATCACATGTCTTAAAGAACAAATATGGCCATTCCTAACCCTGTGGTAGAAGTTATTGCTCAGGTGCTGCATTCCTAGAAGTTAGTGAGGGTGGCTCTTTCTTGGCTCACTGCCTAATAGTTAAACCTTGACACAGGCCAAAGAACTCTCCCAAGATTCCAGCACTATTGTTAGTAAGATATATCGCCTAGGCTGTGTCACAATTTGTTTTAGAACCACAGTTTGAAAGCTCCTTGGTGCAGCAAACTAGGTGGGAAGCCCTCTAGAGTACCAACAATTAAATGTAAGAAGCTTTCTGCTTATTAGATTTCAAGAAAGCGTAGCAGATTTGGTTATACCTATGGTGCTATCTCATCCTTTAGTCTGAATGCATGCTACCTGTATAGTTGACTTTAACCAATTATAGCATGTAAGTAACTACTGCTATCATTTGTATTTACTTTTTAAAATGAAAATGACATTAATAAATGCCACTTCCCAACTTGCTGTATTTTTTCCTTTGTTAAATGAATGTGTGTGTGTGTGTGTGTGTGTGTGTGTGTGTGTGTGTGTGTGTGTGTATAAATGAGCTTTCATAAGAGATATCTTTTAAAATTTGACCTAATTTAGATTCTGGGCATAGGCAACATAGAGGAAGGGAAAAATGAGAGCTAGAATCTCACTATTTCTCTTGTGCTCTAGAATCAAAGCTAAACTTCTATAGATAAGAATCTGGTAGAAAAAGAATGACATTTGATAGAGGAAAAGGCAAAGGCAATTATGGCCATATCTTTTGGACAGCATATATAATTTCTTTAAATTTAAATCATTTGTAAACAACTAGAGGAAATCACGAAGGTACACAAAAATGGCCTTAGCAAAATGATCATGTATTCAGAAAGCAAGCTTTGTTACATAGGTACACATGTGCCAAGGTGGTTTGCTGCACCTATCAACCTGCCATCTAGGGATTTTTTTTTTTTTTGAGGTGGAGTCTTGCTCTGTTGCCCATGTTGGAGTGCAGTGGCACAATCTTGGATTGCTGCAACCTCCACCTCTGGGGTTCAAATGATTCTTCTGTCTCAGTCTCCCAAGTAGCTGGAATTACAGATGTATGCCACTGCACCCAGCTGAATTTTGTATTTTTAGTAGAGATGGGATTTTGACATGTTGGCCAGGCTGGTTTTGAACTCCTGATCTCAGGTAATCTGCCCACCTCAGCCTCTCAAAGTGCTTGGATTACAGGCGTGAGCAACCGTGCCCAGCCCGTCATCTAGGTTTTAAACCCCTCATGCATTAGCTATTTGTCCTAATGATCTCCCCTCTCCCCTGACCCTGCGACAGGCCCTGGTGTATGTTGTTCCCCTCCCTGTGTCCATGTGTTCTCATTATTCAGTTTCCTCTTATGAGTGAGAACATGCAGTGGCTGGCTTTCAATTCCTGTGTTAGTTTGCTGAGGATGATGGCTTCCAGCTTCATCTATGTCCCTGCAAACAAAGGTCAGGATCTTTCTTTTTATGGCTGCATAGTATTCCATTGGTGTAGATGTGCCACATTTTCTTAATCCAGCCTAACATTGATGGGCATTTGGGTTGGTTCCATGTGTTTGCTATTATAAATAGTGCTGCAATAAACATATGTGTGCATGTCTCTTTATAGTAGAATGATTTCTATTCCTTTGGGTATATACCCAGTTATGGGGCTGCTGGGTCAAATGGTATTTCTGGTTCTGGGTCTTTGAGGAATCACCACACTACCTCCCACAATGGTTGAACTAATTTACATTCCCACCAACAGTGTAAAACGTTCCTATTTCTCCACAGCCTTGCCAGCATCTGTTGTTTCCTGACTTTTTAATAATTGCCATTCTGACTGCTGTGAGACGTTATCCCATTGTAGTTTTGAGTAGTATTTCTGTAAGGACCAGTGATGTTGAGCTTTTTTTCATATGTTTGTGGGCCACATAAATGTCTTCTTTTGATGATAGGTGCAGCAAACCACCATGACACATGTATACTTATGTAACAAACCTGCATATTCTGCACATGTATCCTAGAACTTAAAGAAAAATATAAAAAAGAAAATAGAAAACATGAGAAAGAAACATCAAAACATAGAACACATACCCATAAAGTTTCTATAGGACATCATCGTGCAATTCAGTCACGAGCTTTTCATTTCTGGTTGGATATTATTAATTGTTGCAATTATTGTCATTGAAATAGTGTCAAAAGATTGCAGTGTGATTAGGACCAAAAGAACAAACATTTCAGCAAATATATTGGCTGCTTATGGAATAAACTGCTACTCCATGGCCAGCTTTTTCTTGCAAACCATGTTATGTAAAAAAATACAAGCTCCCCAAAAGGGACATGGGCCTTCACTATCTTTTTGGATAAAATTATAGCATCTTTCAAATGAGTTTTTGGGATGTGTGCTACTTTATCTTCATTATGAAAAAAAAATTAGGCATGAGCTTTGGAGAAAACTATGGTCTCATCAGGACACAAGTAAATTACATATGGCCCATTAAAACCTGTCAGTTTAATTCAGATAACATTTGTTTATTATTAGTGTTTTAAAGGTTTATAGTTTTTTTCCAGATTATTTCACTGCACTCCCCTTACCCCCATTTAAAATTCTTTTTGTGTGGTGAACTGTCTAGTTTAATTTTTCTTTCCATTGTTTTCCTACTGAAAGTTAAATTTTAAAATGCTATTATTTTCCATTTGTCTCATAAGCATCTAGCATGTGCTAGTTTTCTTAGAACCGCACCCCCCACACCAAAAAAAGAAAGAAAGCATCATTTTAATAGCAGTTTAATTGTTTCACTCTTTATAGACATATATAAACATACATTTTTATGTTTATATACATATATATAGTTCCAAATCCTATTTATATATAGGATTTGGAATTTAGGATTTGTACCTTCTCTGAGTATTCTTAAACTAAAGATGAATGTGTTTTTCATCTCTTATTCAAAAGTATGCCCTAGCACTTCAATATATTTTCTTTCCTACAGTATTGAAAATGATTGTAAAAGATATATCTTTGGAATGTACCTATTTATTTCCAACTTAGTTCAAAGGAGGATTTTGGTAATTGAAAAAATCCTGAAGATAAGATAAAATAAAATAAAATAAAATAAAAGGAACTAATGTTCCAGGTTAAAAAAAAACAACAGTGTAAATCAGGGAAGGAATTACTAGACAGAAAACCCCATGCCATAATGTTCAATGCAATGAATCCTAAGTCCACTTCTGAGCATCTTAGTAGCCAATGCATAGCAGGGAATACAAATAGGACTCTTAAGAGGTATACAGTATCTATAAATATAAATAAAAATTCCTCAGGAGAAGCAAAACTGTTTCATACTAAATCTGAAAAAAAAATCCTCTGATGGGGCAAATTTATTAAGAATAGAAAGTAATATACTCTGACCTGAGAAATAGGAAGAAACTATGTTTATCATTGATTAAGTCCGATTGTATGTCAGAAAATAAACACTAATGGGTTTAAATGGGTTTATACCTGTCCACTCATTAATCCTAACAATGGATGGAAGAAAATATAGTTTATTTATGATGTAAGCAGGAGTCATAGCACAGTAGATATTACAAAATTATAGTGAGATAAGAATGCCTTATATGAATAGAAGTTGATTATCTATAAAGAGGTCATGAACTACAATGAAAAATAGGACGAATAGTACATCTATTCAAACATAAATCTGAAATAGACAAATGTCAGCCTGAAGCACTGGCTCTTCCCACAGCAATTTATAACAACTAACAAAATGTAAAAGCACTGATGGCTATCCGCTATTATTGTAATTTTGAGAGAGAGAAAAAAAACGTGGTGTGGATATGTTGTATAACCTACTTTAGTGAGTTCCTTCCTTCCTTCCTTCCTTCCTTCCTTCCTTCCTTCCTTCCTTCCTTCCTTCCTTCCTTCTTTCCTTCCTTCCTTCCTCCATCCCTCCCTCCCTCCCTTCCTTCCATTTTCTTCCTTGCTTCCTTCCTCCCTCCTTTGCCTTCCTTTTTTCCTCTGTCCTTTCCTCCTTCTTCCGTCTCTTCCCTTCTTCCTTCCTCCCTCCCTCCTTCCTTTCCCTTCCTTATTTCCTCTCTCCCTTCGTCTTCTTCCCTCCCTCCTTTCCTTCCTTCCTTTCTCCCCATGCCTCCCTCCTCCCTCCTTTCCCTTCCTTCTTTCCTCTCTCCCTTTTTCTTTCTTCCTTCCTTCCTCCTTTCCTCCCTCCCTCCTCCCTTCCTTTCTTTGTTCCTTCCTCCCTCCCCTTCCTTTCTTCCTTCCCCTTTCTCCCTTTCTTTCTTCCTCCCTTTCTCCCTCCCTCCCTCCCTCCCTCCCTCTCTTCCTTCCTTCCTTCCTTCCTTCCTTCCTTCCTCCCTCCCTCCCTTTCTTCCTCCCTTCGTTCCTTCTTTTCCTCCCTCCTTTCTTCCCTCCCTCCTTTCCTTCCTCCTTCCGTCCCCTTCCTTTCTTCCTTTCTCCCTTCACCCCCCTCCTTTCTTCTCCCTCCCTCACTTCCTCCATCCCTCCCTCCCTCCCTTCCTTCCTTCCTTCCTTTTTCCTCCTTCCCCTTCCTTCCTTCCCTCTCCTATCTTCCTCCCCCCTCCTTCTCTCTGTTTCTCCTCTAAACTGCCAAGCTTTGTATCACATCTGAGCACTTAGTGTTGCTCTGATACAATCTAAATTTGAACTTTCATTCAATTTTAATAGTTGGATTAATTCTACCAAATAGTGCCTACAGGCAAAAGGGAGTAGTGTTCTTATTTCCCTAAAGTATGCTACATGGCACTTCACATATATTAGAAAAGGGTGCCCCATCTGGACAGACACGATCAGTCCACCTGATCTATGCATAATTTAGAGAATGAGAGAGACCTTTGGTGATGGGTAATCCTTTCTCTGGTGGATAGATTTGGGATTTGGAGTGGTGAGCAAGCCTGGGATAAATATCATCTCCACTCTGGCCCCTGTTTGTGCACAAACTGTACAAACAGTACCAGAAGGCCCTAGGCACCCAGAAGTAAAAATTCAAATTTACCAAAGAGGTAGCCATAAATATGTGTGTCTCTTTGGTGGGAGATGGAAGATACAACGCAGAGAATAAAGGAAGCAGTGTTGATACTAGGATCTATTAAAACATATGCTAGTATTTATTCTGATACCAATGTTTCATTGAAACAAATTGAAAATGAGTCCCCAGGATGAGCTGCTGGGTGTTGGATGTTTGAAACGTCAATCGAAAGAAAAGGAAGTTTCCTGGAGTGTTGACCAGAGCCTTTGGGGACCCGCTCAGAGTGAAGATGCTTTACTTGCAGTGGGATTTGTTGTTGTCGTTGTTTTGGGTTGGAGGGGGCACTTCAAGTAGCATTAATGGAAAATAATACTAGGGAAAGCACAACAGCTTCATCTAGCAGAGGATAAACCACAATGAGTTAACTGAGATTTTTCTGGTTTCAGAATCTTACATCTTTTGCCTCAAATTAGGTCTCAGAATAAGTTCTGTTGCTTCTTGCAGTGGTGAATTTTTGGGATTTCTTCTCTTCTTGGCCAGTGATGTCTAAGAGTTATTGGTCAGAATCTGCCTCGAAGTTGATCTCACATCCTTATTTATTTGGCTACAATATGAAGCAAAGTATCTAAAATGCATAATATTGCAGAGCTAGAAAAAGGTTTTACTTCTTCCAGCAAAAAACAACAAAAACCATTTTTCCCACTTTCTAAACATGCATGCATGTTTATTATATTTTAACAGATATTTAATGGCTAGGGTTTTTTTTTTTTTTTTTTTTTTTTTTTTTTTTTTTTTTTTTTTTTTTTTTTTTTTTTTTTTTTTTTTTTTTTTTTTTTTTTTTTGGGCTTTTGCTCAAAAATGGCTTCCACTTTGATTCTCATTCATATTAGTAAACGCCAAGAATTAACTCCTAGAGAATTGTGGACTAAATGCACTAGAGCTTCTCATAAAGCAGCACATCCAAATCCCAAGCAACAGATGTTCATTAAAAGCCAGTCCCAAGTATTTGAAAAGCCATTTTAAGAAACCAAAAGCGCTGCTTTAGTGTGTCAAGTGGAATGATAACATTAGTGTCCTTAAAAATGAAAAAAAATTTTAAATGCTTTCAAGTAAAAACAATAACAAAGGAAACGTCTCCTATTCTTCTATAATTATAATAGCCATGTTTCAAGAATTTACTGCTATTAGGCCCACATTGTCACTAATTCACTGACTACTGTCACTAATGTAACACTGTAGGTCACAGGTTCTCAGCAGATCATACCCTTGAGTATCTTAACCACACCACTTTCTGAAACTCAACTTTTGATTTTACAGATGTCACTTATAACAAGAGAAATTCCAGTCCTGTGTCATCCTTTTCTGTATTTTTCTGTTGGGAGAAATGATGATTAAAATGTGATTCTTTCTAATACCTTCTGCATCCCGGGCAAGCTCCTTAATGAATTCTCCCAGGGACTCTGCTCTGGCGTTGGTCCTCTCAGCATCCTGTCCGGTCTGCTCACCATCTGCTGTCACTTTGGTAGCCTAATGATCCAAATTCGGGAAAAGCATAATTAATAGAGATGATGAAGCTACGGCTAGATAAGCTCCCACTGGCTGCATTTTCTTTCAAATATTACTTTGAGCCAAAGGCAATCGATGAATTATTGATCAGATGTACTGGAAATGATGCCCCGTGCTCAAGTATACAATTAAACTTTATTACTTCTTCCATTAAATGGAAATCAGATAGCTGTATTTGGTCTTTTTAGAAACCCTTGTTATACGCTATGGCACAGAAGAAGCGATAAAGCACAATTATTTTTGAAATATCTTTAAGGTACAGTTGCCAAAAGTCTTTAATGGAATCTTCAGCCTCCACATGTTGCAGTTTTGTCCGTATTTTATTTACTAAAAAGTGTGTGGAGTGCAGCCATGGCCTCTTGAGAGATGAACAGGCCGTCGGCCTCAATCAGCTTGATCCTATAGGTTTGTTTTAGATCAATACGTTAATCAAAGTAACAAAGAGGGGGAAATGCTTAGCTACTCAGTAGTAAATGCCTGTTTTATAACACATCAAAGGTGCCAATAAAACATTAAGGGAGAATAAATACTAACTTTTTTCCATATGATAGCACCAAAAATACGGTTGTTAATCACAGAATCATTTGCAGCATTTTCAGCAAAGTAAAACAGAACCCCCAAATAGCCCCACCTCCCAAAGAGTATTCTCATACACATTCACCTCTATTCACATTGAAAACATCATTTGACACACTGAAATGCATTCAATGTGTTCATGGTTAAAATACATCATATGTAGTCAAACAAAAATGGTGTGTGTATAACATTGTTTCTTTAAAAAAATCCAAGGTTTAGAGTGCCCTGAAAGGTTTACCCTTCATTTTTCTATGTGCATGCATAGGCTAGTATATAAGCCTTCTTCTCTTTTACGAAAATGATATGGATAGTCTAACGACAGATAATGAATTAGAGAATCGCAAACTGTCTCAATATAATTTTGAATAAGGTCCAACTTGGCAGCATATTAATGCTCTACAATCTCGTACTAGAGTGCTTGCATACTAGGCATGGCCAGAGAATTAATTTTTAAAATATACATAAGTGGATTTTAAATAGAACTAAATGTCTGGCCAGCACAGAACATGGTAAGAGATGCTAGAGGAAGTGTACTGCATTTTGTGATTCCTCAAGGGCAGCAAGAGGTTTAATTTATGAAAGTTTTCAAGGTTTTACATAAAAGGAAGAATGTAAAGTCCAACTATTATCATCAGTTTCTCAACCTGCAAGTGTTAACATCACAAATAAAAGGATGAAAGAGTGAGAATCCATTGGAAAATTCAAAAGTTTTTCTGTATAATTTGCAGTACATATACACAATAATTTGAAGAGTATTAACAAATGTGTTATAATGCTCTGGATTTATTCTTCTAAATATTAATGGAATTATTTTTACTTTTAGATTGAAAATTTTTTTTGGAATAAACTGTGCATGCAATTGCTAGATTATTCAAATCCTTGCTTTCATGTTGCAATTATGTTCCATTAATTTCCTTAAACTTGTTTTCCTGCACATGTTTGCATTCAAAGTTCTGATGGGTCAAATAACTTTTTACACATGGACACATATACATACACACATTCACATATACACATACATACACATACATAATTTTTTAAATGTTACTTTTGAATCACTAGCTAAGGTCAACTGCCTAAGAGGTTGGTAGTTGGCCGGGTGCAGTGGCTCACACCTGTAATCCCAGCACTTTGGGGGGCTGAGGTAGGTGGATCATGAGGTCAGGAGATCGAGACCATCTGGGCCAACATGGTGAAACCCCATCTCTACTAAAACACAAAAAATTAGCCAGGCGTAGTGGCGTGTGCCTGTAATCCCAGCTACTCAGGAGGCTGAGGCAGGGGAATCACTTGAACCAAGGAGGCAGAGATTGCAGTGAGCTGAGATCGTACCACTGCACTCCAGCCTGGCGACAGAGCGAGACTTTGTCTCAAAGAAAAAAAAAGATGTTGTCTAAACTGCTTTGGATATTTTTCTAGTCTAGATTTGACTGCACCCTGTGATACCACTCTTACTTTCACATATTACTGAACACCATAACCATAGTAAGAGACTTGATCTACATTATGGTCATCTTCCAATATCTTACTTTAAGAATTAATGTATCAATATCACTAGCGTCTCTTACAGTACAGAAGATGTACATTGCAATTTCAACTTAAAATATATTCTTTTGCTTCATCAATATATTTTCTGTATTACCAAAAGATCACAATTTTGTACCAAGTGGACCAATTCTTATTAAAAACTTAAAGTGTCTAAATTTTCAAAAGTAAGTGCATACCATACATTGCCCCTTTTAAATTCTGGATGATCAAGATTGTATTCACTGTCTTGACTTCCTCTTGCTTATAATCTGTTGTATAGGTTATTTCATTTATATGGTAATGTGCAAAAGTCATCATTCACATGCATTTTATTCTTAGTATTGATTATATGAGTACTTCAGTACTAAGACGTCAAGAATCCTACAAGCTCCATGATAAGAAAGAAGTTCAAAAAATTAGCATGAAGACCCTATGCAATCAACCTCCCTGGCATAGTTTTAGTATACTAAACATGCAAAACTCATCCCTTCTTAGTGCCTTCTTGTATCCAGTTGTGTTTACCTAAAATGAGCTTCTCCTCAATACTTTTAGAGACTGGGTCCTTGTCACCCATCAGCTTTCAGTTTAAGTGCTTCTTAGTGTGCCCATTCCCAGGATGCTGTCCAGGTTTCCACATTCCCTGCAGCAGAACGTTTCCTTCATAGCACCATAGATTTTGGAATGACTTAGTACTTGGCTCATCTATTTACTGACTACCTCTCCAACTGAAAGGTAAGCTCTTAGCGGGTGGGAACTCTGTCTGTTTTGTTCACCATATTATATCCCACTCCTAGAATGATGCCTAATTTATACCGAATATTCTCCAATGTTGTTATACACAGGACCAAGCAACAATTTTCCTAACCAATATTGCCAACTTTATTACCATTCTACTTGCCTACTTTCTTTCGGATCATTCTCAGAAAAATATTTTGTTTTCATATCACTGCTTCTTAATCCCTCTCTACTTATCCAAAATAAATCCAGCTTTTGAGATTCAATTCCAACTCCATCTTCTCAATGACGCTCTCCTTGCCCATTCTAGCACATCATCTCTTTTCTAAGATTTTCAAAAACAATTATTATTACCACTATGCACAACTCTAATGGAAAGTGACTTTGCTAGGTGCTTGGCTATATCTATCTAATCTACATTAGATAGATAGATGAGAGGGGGCTAGGGCTCTGTCTTACTCTTTTTATCTTCATAGTGCCAGGCACAGTGTCTGGCAAATTGTTGTGAGTCAAAGATGTTGGGTGATTGGCTGATACAATGATAATCAAACCAATGATCCCTTGCAAGTTCTAAAGCCTATTCGAGGATTTACAATAGTGCTCATACTGACCATATGCCCGGTACAATGCTTGCCAGCAAATGTGGTTGGCTGGGCAGTTTTCTGGGCATTTTTAAGAAGCTCAGAGGAAGCTGGTGCTCAAGAGCTACAGTTGAATGCTTGGGAGAAGAGCTGAGCATGAAGATCTGCAGTCCCAACTACACTGCTTTCTTGTCACTGGCCTCAAAGTAATTCAAACTCAGCCTTTGATTACACACCAAGTTCTACGCTGGTGGTGTGTGAGTGGGAATAACAGGCAGAAAGAGGGTAGGAAGACTCTTTAGGGCCAGCAGAGTGCTTACTGAAGACGATACCTTCCTTCTGCACACAGAAGAGCTTCCTCTCTAAACTATGTTCCAGAAGAGGAGAAGATGTGAGGCTCCCAGTACCAAAAGCATCAACTTAATGGGGGCTAGCACTCTAAAGGATGAATTACACACAGTCAGGCTCAGCAGTATGTCAGAATTACTTGTATTTTTTACATTTTCTTAACTTTTAAGTTCAGAGGTACAAGCGCAGGATGTGCAGGTTTGTTGTATAAGTAAATGGGCGTCATTGGGGTTTGTTGCACAGATTATTACATCACCCAGGCATTAAGCCCAGTACCCATGAGTTATTCTTCCTGATTCTCTCCCTCCTCTCACCCTGCCCACCCTCCACCCCCTGGTAGGCCCCAGTGTGCACTGTTCCCTTCTATATGTCCATGTGTTCTCATCATTTAACTTCCATTTATAAGTGGGACATGCAGTATTTGATTTTCTGTTCCTGTGTTAGTTTGCTAAGGGTAATGCCCTCCAGCTCCATCCATGTCCCTGCTAAGGACATAAACTCATTCTTTTTTATGGCTGCATAGTATTCCATGGTGTATATGTGCCACATTTTCTTTATCTAGTCTATCACTGATGGGCACTTATGTTGATTCCATGTCTTTGCTATTGTGAATAGTTACACCAGATTTCTATGCATGTTTGCAAAGGCTTACAGCACTCTTGTGTGTCTCATTTATTCTTCCTGCATTTAGAGATATATAGAAGGCATGATCCCCCTTTTTACACAGATGAAAATGAAGGTACGAGGAGGTTAAGTGACTTATATGAACTTGAACACACAGGGAATTGGAGACAAAACACACATTTTTTGGTCTCACAGAGTTACATTTTGTTTGCACCCAAAACTGTTTTGCATTTGACTAACATCCAGAGAGAGTAGTAAAATACACGAAAAACTGGAGCATTCTTGGTGAGTGGAGGACATTGCTCCAGCTAATATACACTTTAAGTGTCTAAGTTTTGGCTTTCAGTAAATTAACACATTTCAAAATCATATCAGAACATCATCTAGATATATTTTAAAATTCCATGTCTCATTACCCAGTAATTACGTTGAAGACTCACCCTTGTCAAAGCTACCCATGAGAGACCTCATAAAGAAGGCTATGATAAATGCACTATCACCTATGGGTAGCGATGATAGATAGTGGTATCATTGTGAAAGCAAAATTCACAAAAATCAACCTCATCCAGG